GATTTGATATCTCTGTGCAACACACATTGTTCCCATTCTTCATGTAGATAGAACAATCCGGATGCCAAGCCTTGAGCAATTCTGTACCTTGCCTCCCAACCTAACAAGCTTTTTCCTTTGAACAAATGGGAATCTAAGCTTCCATTAGACATGAACTCGTAAACAAGTAGGAGTTCTCTCTTTTCGTGGCACCAACCAATGAGTTGCACCAGATTTCGATGCCTAAGTCGACTGATGATCCTTACTTCTGCTGCGTACTCCTTCAGCCCCTGTCTAGACCCACTTGATACCCTCTTAACAGCAACATTTGAGTCCAAATCTTTTACAAAGCCTCTGTAAACCCCACCAAACCCTCCCTCTCCAAGCTTCTCTCCCTCGTCAAAATCGTTTGTCGATTGAGCCAACATCTTGTACGAAAACTTCTTTGGGCCTGTACCCTTCTCGAATTCGTCATCAATTGGATCGTTGATCATAGGATCTTCATCATTGTCGCTACTTTCCCCTGTTCCCCCCTTCTTCCAAAAAATGAACCAAACCAAACAAAACCCACCAACCAAAAGAACACACCCACCAACAACCAGCCCAACCACAAGTCCAATGTTGATGCCATTTCCTGACCCGGGTTCAACAATGGGGGTCGGCGCAGGAGCTACTGGTGTGTTGTTATTTGCATTCTCAACAATCAGCGATGTCGAATTGAAACTCCATGAGTTGATCTTGGGCATAGCAGTCCCAGAACCTGATGCAGCAGAGAACCCAACAATCACCCAACCCTGCAAAATCTCATTCAGATCAACCTTGTAATAAAGATATGAATCCACCCAGGCACCATTTTCCACCCAGACACCATTTTCATAAGTAGTGAAGGTAACGCTAAGATTTTTCGATCCAGAATCATAATGAATCGAAGCACTATTGACTCGTCCCTCTGTAATGCCACCATTCCACGCCCTGGTAACTTTAGACTTGACAGAGTTGACATTAATACCAACATGATAGGCAGTGGGATCTTCGGTAGCAGCCTCTAGATTCTGAGAGACGTCAAACTCCACTGCCACAAACGGGTACAGATTCGTGGCCTCGTTAGTTCCTGGGGGTTTGACGGGGTAGTCAAAAAGGCCGCCTCTGCCTATTGACGTGGACTCGTTTGCTTGCGGGAACATGACGGGTAATCCAAAACGGCTGTCTATTTCACTGTTGAGTGCAGACCCGTTTGGTGCCAAAAAGAAGGCTAGCCCGTCTGCATAGAATGGTTGGCCTTGCGAGTCGATGGCGAATGTGAAAGTTGTGGTGAAGTCCGCGAGTTTTCCCGTGGCGTTGTCTTGGAGGAGGAAGGGTTGGCTGTAGGTGGCTCGACCGACACTTTGGAATATCGGCACGTTTTCAGCAGGGCCTTTGGTGAGTCGGAGGAAACCATCGAGGTAAGCATCTCCCTCGAGATGTAGGTTTGTTGATGCCTCTTGGGAAGGTGGGGAAACTGAAGTTTAATGAGGTTGCACAAGGGGCTAAGTGAAACAAGAGAAGAAGAAGAAGGACAACCATTTCTAATTTGCTGGTAAGGGTCTAAAATAGAGCAGAGAGTGTATGGAGAGTTTAATATTTGAAAGTGCTTTAATCAGCAGTTGGTTTATTACCAATTCAAATCAAAATAATTTTCCTTGGACATAAATAAGGAAATGAAGATTCAAGCGAGTGGTGGTAGTGATGGCATGGGATGGGAGTGGATACCGCGGTGACGGTGACTATCAGAATTTCTTGTATCTATATATTATTTGCTCAAATATTGCTTTTGCGTGGTTGACGGGGTGAAGTTGATGAATAGACGGGCCATGTAGGACAACAAAGGTTAATTCCACACTTGGGATGGAATGGAAGCAGGACGACAACAAAGTGGGAGCGCCGCTTGGGGAAGAAACTGGTTTGGATAAGGTTTCTGTGTATCGATACATCAAGTTTATAGGGACATAAATGTCATTTCAACTCCTGTAAAACAAAATGAAATCTTCACCCTCTGTCCCGTCTTCTTCAACTCCATCATTCTGAGACTCCAACAATTCTCATTATATTACAATTACATTCAATCCCTTGTTCAAACATAATCAAGTAACTGACTTGGTATAATTGAAGGGACACCCACCCAAATGGCTTGGGTGTCGTCGATCTGTGAGGTACGGAAAGAGAGAGGGGGGTTGCCATTGGGTGGAGATGTGTGAATTGAGTGGGTTGCTGTGTGAGGGAGGTGGGTGGCTACGGGACCGACGGGACCTATCCAAACCAGAGTATTGTAGAAGAAACCTTATCCAATCATACGTCACCGTGATCTCCAATCATACGTCAGTATCATCTACAACACATGAGGACATTGCACCAAAA